AGTTGACATACAGTTTAAAAATGTTTTCAAAAACAAAGTCAGATGTAGGAGAATTAGCAGCGAGGAGTACAGGACGACAGAATGGGACAAAACGTTTTGTTTTTAGCTCTGGAGTGGTTCCTGTTGTTGCCAAAAGAGAGATGTCTGACTGACTTTCAAGTAATCACACACCGCTGTGAGAAGCATTCAAAATAAGTGGAGGAATATTTAGATTGCTGTATATTAGCAGAGGAGAAGTTTTTCATTGGGAAGGTGTACCTGTGTGCATCAGAAAAAACATTAAACAGTTTTTGACTCTCTTACACTCTTTATGCTTTGCTCATAGTTGTTATTTTTAGGAGTTTTTTAAAACTGTTTTTATTGGGATGTACTGTGTATACACATGTTTAGTAAGACTGACTTTTTAAATGAATCGTTCTCCCATGTGGCAATGAAACAGAAGCGTATGCCATGATATGCATATTTGCATTATTATCTGTTTTTAGACATAAATCTCACATTAAAATAGAACTTAGAAGAGGATATGTCACTGACCCTTGAGATTATTGTCCATCTAGCATGACATAGGTTAAAATACTGTTCCATCTTTATTACTTGGCATTATTCAGATTCAAATGCCACACAGCATAAAGGAATTATGAATTTGAAAAAAGGATGTACAAATGTTGGGATATTTTAGACCTTTGTGTCTTCTCTTTTATGCCTACTGTTAGAGAGGAAATCCTCTAGGGTAGGGCTGGTGATCTTGTCCCCAGGACTCTTGGGGACGGTTAAGTTACATGCCTCAGCAAGCCATGTAGTGTTTCAGTCAGGCCCACCGGCCTGCACCTCACCTCCAGCTACCGTTATGTCAGAGCTGGTAGTCCTCAGCTTCAAACCAGATGGTTTGCTGGGAGCACGTAACAGGGTCTGGTGTCATTCTGAGACTCGGAAACTCTGCAGCACAGGGGATTGAAACTGATGTTATGGCCAAAAGTTTCACAGAATCAAAAAAAGTCTCTTCAAGAGTGTTGCATATTTTAAACTATTTTCTGCTACTTAATTTGAAATCAATAGTAATATCAATTAAAAGCACATTCTGCAAATATAACAAAGTAAACCCTACTTCTAGAGTTTAAGATAGTAGAGCTACCACAGCAGGAATAAAGACATGTTGCTGTTTCACATCGTTACAGGCAAAAAGCATTAAAAAGTACTGATTTCAAAATCAAAGAGAAGTGTACATCCAAAACACGACGTCAAAAGAAAAACAGGTTTTGTAAGTTATTAGTTATATGAGTTAGGGATTATTTTGAAATAAAAACAACATGTTCATTGATCACATATTGTGAGCTCAGTGACTTTAAAACTTATCCAAAAAAAAAACTGTGACAGAATGTCCACACTCAAACAAATGAGATATCATTTTCAAAATGTTAAGTATGTGTTTTATTTTCCAAATGATTAGCTATCTGGAGTTGGGGTTAGATTATCTCTCCAAAATATAAAAAAATATATATCTGCATGGTACTATAGAGTCCAACTCATATTCAGTGTGTAAAAGTAATTTAAAACCACACATGCCTAGCTTTATTTCTACACTGTGTTTACACTTCATCAGCTTTGTCTGGTGTACTTATTGGGACTCAAATCTTGTGTCTCCACAGTTTATTTCATTGTCATGTGAGATTCTTTCATCCCATACAAGTGCATGTGTGATCTTCTCTCAACAATTCATCCTCTCTAAACACTGGGCAGCCAGTGAGCCAGACAAAAAGGTGTTACTGAAGACTGCGTCCAGCAATTGAAGCTATTAAAGCTGCCCCCAATTCCCCTTCTTTCTTAACTTTATGGCCATAATTGCCATAAAGCTCCTCCCAAAACCTCCCAGCCCCCATTGGCCCTTCTGGGGGCCTTTTTAAAATGTTAAATATTCCCATTGTAATGTAACTTTTTTCTCTTCCACGAGTGCCTCTGTGGAGTAGTTAAGTCTTTATTTAATGAAGCTGGGTCAGAGTTCATCATGTTAGTAGTTTTAAGGCTTTGGGTGCAGCATTCAGCCTTTAACACTTTATGCCAAACTTGTACAACTACTCCTTATGGGGCAAACAATAAAAACATCCATCAATGTCCTCCCTTGTCTATGCAGGGCTGGGATGACTGACGAGGGGTACGGCACATTGATGCACTTTAGGGGCAGGGGACTGTGTGAATGTTTGTTTATGTCAAGTGAGGATTTGTCAAAAGGTTTATGTCATTCCTGGCATCAGTCTCCTGGAGCTTGTACTGGGTGGTCTTTGTCTGTTTGTGTCCGTAAAGAGCTTCGTGTTCACTCTCATTTGTTCCCTATTGATTCCCTAAATTAGGTTGATGAGAGGCCCTCCTATCAGGTGGCATATTAATTGGGTCAGGCTGGATCTTATATGACATCCAAATAATGGCAACCCAAACTCCAACACTAAACCTTTGTCCTCTGGACGCTCTCTGTCACCAATTAGCCTCGCCGTGAATCTGCTTCTTGTCACCTTTGCTGCTCTTACTGTTTTCCAAGAATCATTCTTATGACGTGTGTGTGTGCGTGTGTGTGTGTGTTTATCTGTGTGTGTGTGTTTATCTGTGTGTGTGTGTGTGTGTGTGGGGGGGGGGGAATTTTCAAGGTGTTATAAAATCCTTGGGGGAGGTGCTAGAAGGGTCTTGGTATATAATAATACATATAGAAACATTGCAAAGGCGTATATTTGCATCTAAGTGTTTGCAAAGAGGCCTACTATGAAAGTTTTGCAGACCTGCTTTGCTCAAATGAGACAATTAAACAAAACCAGGTAATTCCTTTCTCCTGCTGACTTAAAAAAAGTCATCCATACATTTATTTCTTCCAGAGTCGACTATTGTAATGTACATTATTCTGGCATCAGCAAGAGTAACTTCCAAAGTCTGGAATTGATTCAAAATGCTGCTGCCAGGATTTGAACGTGTATCAAGAGAAGTGACCACATTACACCTGTCCTTGTTGCCCTTCACTGGCTACCTGTGAGTTTAAGAATTGATTTTAAGAACTTATTGCTTGTTTTCAAAGAATGAAATGGAAAGTTTCCTCCTGTGATCTACTAACTCCCTGTGTGCCAGACCGCAGCCTCAGATCTTCCAGGAGGGCCTTACGGGCGGTTCCCAAAACTGGACTGGTCAAAAGGTGACCAAGCCTTTGCAGTTCACGCCCCACAGCTGTGGAACAATATGCCTGCAGATCTCAGACAGGAAAACTCATAGTCCTCTTTTAAATCACTTCTTAAAACTCACTTTTATTGGCTTGCTTTTTCTTCAACATTGTTTTTTTTTGTATACTCTTCCTCCCTTTGTATTGACAAATGTGTTTCATTATTGTTTGGATCGTAATTATCTGTTTATTTGCTTTTATTTTTATTTATTTATGAATTTTCAATTTGTGTATTTTTCTTTTTAAAATTGCTTTCTCAAATTCATTTTCATCTTCTGATTTCTTCATTTTTACCTTATACATTTTCCTTGTGATATACGTTATAGATTTAGTAAGCTTTATTTCAATAAAATTACAAGGCATACAGGACCATCAGCATAAAGATACATTTTTTTCATGCCTGAAACCACTTCTAGGGGATAGGGGACGATGTGTTTAAAAGCACACTCAAGATAAAATTCTCAAAAATTGATACATTTGACTTATACATGTAAGGACACAAATACATAAGAGATAGGAGATAAAATGTAGTCAAATTTCTAATTACTAATCGTTAGCACAGTTATTGCCCAAAACTGTTGAACGAAACTGTGACATGTTATCAACAAGCAGCAACCTCTGGGGCTAAAAAATGGTGCAGAAGCTTTAGGTTTAGCTCAGTTGGTAGAGCAGGCGCCAAACTTGTTGTAGGTTTGACTCGTGGTTCCTTAGATCTTCTGCCACTTTATAACTTTCCTATCCAACTTAATGCGAAAGCCCAAAAGTAATCTTTCAAAAAAAAGTTCCAAAGTGAAAAAGCCCAAAACTGCAGTTTCTCGAATGGCCTCTTGGACCTACTCCAAAAGGGGGTACATTCCCTTGGAGGCCCATAGCAAAATGTCCAACTCTACAGTTAAATTAAACATGCATATGGTATAATGTGCAACATTTTAAACATTGATACAGTATAGTATACCTCAAAGTCAAGTCATATTCCCTCTGAGTTTGTTGTTCCCCGCTCTGTGTCCACACTAACGGGATGGCACACTCTTCAGCTTGTTTCACTCAGAGGCTCAAACATGCTTCATACATGTTTTTTTCTCTCTTGTGAACCACTCATTCTCCAACCGTTAGCCTTGCCACCACATGGAGGAAGAAAGATGTCACCGCCCACTCAGGGATGTTGTTTGTTGAGGCACAATGGAGAGTCATTGCAAAAGTACAACTGAATGAGAAACAACAGACTTTTATAACCAATGAAAGGATTTTGCTTGGTCCAAAATAAGAACCAAATCATATTTGGGCTCCATATCAGAATGTAGATCAGTCCTACTAACAGCTGCGTAGGTGGGACAGAGGAATTTTAAATGTTGTTTTGGTCTGAGGGACTGGTGCTAAGTGCAACATCTACTGGACATACTGCTGTAAATCGTATATTGTAACTTTTAGGATAAATACAGAAAATAAACTTTTTTTGGGTCTTCAAACCTAAATTAGTAATTTACAACAACTTTACAGAGGATTTCTTTGTGTCACCCATTTCAATTATAATGAGAATAGTTGGGTATAATTAGTCGGTAAGGATATAAGCTAGTTGTCTAATGTGTCATCTGTTTGACACTGAGTATAGGTCAACAGCTGGTTATCAGAGCTTTTTTGATTCAGGGATTCTCTAGCTTAACAAACTAGAACTTGAGATTTACGAGGGACTTAAAACTCAAAGGGATGGATCAATATCTGGCAAGTGCAGTTTTTTTGTTGAGAGCAGGGTGACTTAAACTAATGAACAAATGAACTATACTCAGTAAGAAACAAGCAAGAGACCCCATAAGCTAAATAAATGATTTATTGTACAAAAGAAAAATGACAGTAAATAAACAACAAAGACAAAAAATAACAATTGAACAGTTATTCATATGCACAACCATTAAACTACAAAGTTGAGGTGATTTTATTAAACTACACAAAGAAAAGAGGAATGAAGGGGGGAAGTGAGTAAAACATTAGAAGCGGTGAACCTGTCCAAAACATCATAAACATCAACATTTGGGTAGATATTTACATAGAGATTTCTCACTCTCATATATATATATGAAAACACTCTCACACATACCAGTATACAAACACTAAAAATTCAAAATGCAACTTCTTGACAAGCCATAAATGTGGGCACAGCGAAATATTTTTTTTTGACCACACATTACCAGAGCCGCTACCATCTGCCACTCTTTCAATAACTCAATCTGAACCTGAGAGCAAAGGGACCCTGTGGTTTACATCTACACTTTTTGGGGGTGGTTTTGGTGGGGAAAGCAGTTTTATGGGTTAAATTTTTGCACAGATTAGTGGATGACAAATTTAACAAAAGCAAGGTTTTTAGGAGGCTTCAGTGAGGTAGACAGACTTTGAAATGCATTGAAATTAATATTAATAAATAAAAAAAATTACCAGTTGAATTATTTCCAACCACTGCCCCTAAATCAGCTTTTTCCTCCCTTTGAAATGTTCTAGCATTTTCCTGCAATCACAATAGTTACAGCACATGGCATGCCATCCTCTACTTTGGCGAACAATCCCTGGCTACTCCACCCATTCTTACATGGGTACTTTCACTCAAAATACAAACACAAGGCAAAAACGTGTCCATTAAAGACAGTCAACACATTGTTATAGGTCAGAAGGACGTAGTCTCTCTAAAATGGTAAAAGGTTAAAGTTGGTGGATGGGCCATTTCCAGTTAAAGCATTCTATGTTCATTGACCCAGACACCTATAATACACATTACTTATCACCCAAAGTGGGCAAGGAGGCCTTTCAGGCCGCTGGTACAGTAAGTCTATAATCCAGATTGGAGAGCAGTGTGTGGGTGTATGGACAGGCCCCCGCTTCAGACAAAAGTCAGGAAAGCATGATGATATCAAAAAAGAAGTGATATCCTTTCTAGTTTATGGTTTATCACCAGAAGCTTGAATAGTTTTTCCCCTACACTGTACAAGCTCTGTTGTGCTTAGTAAAACACAAACAACACTTAACCTCCTCACGCCATGAACGTCCCATAGTGCAAAATTTATTGTTGGTAAGGTAGAGTGCCCCAAAAAAGGTTTTTGTTCCCCTTTTTTATTATATACATAAATCATTTATATATAATGTCAGAAGGCTCTCCCTTTATCCAACAGCATAGTGCTTTCGTTTACAACAAATGGATATCTTTGTTTTGACATCCAGGAGACAAAGACAGACTTCAAGCACGCTAATATACTCAATATTTAAGCACTAACAATACTTTCACCATGATATCATTGTTACAGTTGAGGTGGAGGTGCATGGGGTCATTTAGAAAATGCAATTAAATAGGGTTTCTAATCTAAAGTCAGTGGTTGAGTAACATTCTCTTGTTTTTAAGGTGTTTTATTTCCAGGTGAAGAACTGCTAAAGGATTTTGCATTGTTATTTTCCTGACTGAAACTACTATATTGAAAAGGTGAACTGTGGTAACATGAGTGCAGAAGCTACTGCTCTTTCTTAATTTATGTGTATTTTTTAGTCAGATGTGAATGCTGCTGTAAAGATGAGTGTGCAGCAGTTTACTGTTAACGTGTTTTCAGCTCAACCATTAACTAGGTTACAGAAGAGAGAAACCTTTAGCATACTTATATCTGGTGGTGCAACAGATCACAGATTATCAGTGATCCATTCGGATCACCCCCTACTGTTCGGATCGCATGTGGTCCATGGATCGATAGTATATTTATCATCCTGATATAAAACACATTTACAGCCACTAAATCCCTGTGCAGTGAAAAGTAAGCAGCGTGTAGGCCAATATTGGCAAATATGAAGACAATTCAGTGTTCTTTTTTATATTTTTACAAGAGCTTTGCACAAGCTTTCACACAGAGAAGGGTCATTAAGGGTTGATAATTAAGTCTGCACAGTAACTTTGTATCAAACAGTGCTTGGACTTTTCTCAGTTTACTCTCACAGTGTCTTCATTTATTCAGCCAAGCATCAGAGGATGGCTGTGCGTGACAACAAGCAGTAACTTAACATTAGTAATGTTGTCCTGCAGCCTACTGTAATGTGTGGCTGTAAGTTAGCTGAACAAACTCTGTTAGACAGCGCCACATTCAGTCCAAAAACTGAAGATAGAGTCCCTTAATGCATGCTCTCCATCCGTTGTTTCTTCTCACTCACATAGCATGTGTGCTGCAGAAGCAGCCAGTGCACTGATACACACACATCCGCTAAATGAATTGTGTGTAAATGTTACTTATCAACATTGTCAAAGCTCATATATGAAAACATGTGTTTCTGAAGATAATAGCAAACTTGTTAATACAAAAGGATTTCTGTTTTTTAAGTTTGTAATACAGATGTCCTTAGTTAGGTTGAAACAACTATTGGTATTTAAACGATGAAGCCTTGTATTATAGACTCATTTTTTAAAAGCACTTTCTAAATAAAAAGGGAGTTCTGGTTTATCTGCCTGCTTGTTATATTATTATTGGGATCATAGCAATTTGTATATAGTGTAGAAAATTGAGGATGTAATGCATTAAGATGCAGGGAAATTGCATTTTTATTTAATGTGTCAGAAGAAAAGAAGATCTGTGACACAAATTTGTGACCTAATCTGAACGGTGGGATTTGTGATCCGTTGCACCTCTACAATCACTCCTCTACATAGTTTTATTTGAGGGTATGAATTTTGCTCTCTGTTTGTAATACCATGCTCAGTCCAAGGACAGTGCTTTATGAACTCTGTTACATTGAATGCAAAACCTGAAGGTGGTAGAGCGTATTTTCCTTTGATATAGAGAAGAAAGGACCTTTGTCAGGTTTTTGTCATGTCTGCTCCTCCTCCTTTCCCAGGAGTGCATCTCCATTACAGTACTGTTGTAGACTGAGGTGTGCAAAATTAAACCTAAATCTGTATCATCTCGTTATGGAATGGCAGAAATAGCTTAATCTGTCCTCTTTCAGATAAATAATTAAAATAGTATTACTTCTTTTCTCCTTTTTCCTTTTTGAGTTCTATGAGACTACACATAAAAAAGATCAAAGTAACAGTGAAAGGTTTCGTGGATACTCGAGAATATCACACTGGGGTGTTATACATTAATAGAGGGTTTAGGTTTGGTTTTGGATCTTTCATCTCCTTACATCACTAAAGCACATCTCTAAACATCTGTAAACAACATTTTGGAATTATACTTAGGGTATATATAACCCTCCTCACATTAGCATGGACTTTGTTCCTTTTTTAAAGTGATGGATTGCAAAAATAATTCTTCAAATGCCCCCTTTAGAAACATTTTCTGGATCAGATCTCATCCTTAAGTCAGTGTCTCCAAGAAATTCAGCATTTCAAACTCAACTTAGGACTGAAATAGTTTCGAAAATATTGTAAATGCTTCTGTCTCCTGTCATCTTATTCCACAGACCTGGACATTTCACAAAGATGCCATTAAAAAGAAAACAATATCTTTAAAATCCACGAAACTAAAACGCACTCGATAACAGTTTTAGCTCATTTACTGTTTTCTGAAGCTGCTCCACAAGGACATCCTCTTTTTATCATTCAAAGTACTGATTTTCCATCACTCAGTCTGCTTTTGATTCCTGTTTCATTTATAGCTTCTTTTTTTTACAGTTAGAATCAATTCAATTACTGGAAAATGGAAACTCAGTGGGATGATTTTGTGGCTGAGCAAAAGTGAAATCTGGTGCAGAGGAGTGGGTTCTGGTGCCAGGGGTGGGCTCCTTAAGGGTTTTCGGTGGTTTTGATGCGATGGTGGTGTGTGTCTCCCCAGGACCTAAGAGCAGCCACATCTATCCACCACCATCCCTGGGATTTTGCCGTGAATTATCTGCTGCTTGTCATTGAAGTAAAGCATGTTAATCGGGGACATCTTGGTCGGGGTACAGCACGGTCCTGCGGAGCCTCGAGGGTTTGCATGCTGCACCAGGTGGGTGTGTGGATATTTCTGCATGAACATGTACTCGCACTGGCCCGAGCAGTAGTTGGCTTTGTAGCGTTTGGGTGCAATGATCCAGTCCCAGCCGAAAGCTTCAAAGTCCACAGTCAAGGGGTAGCGACAACAGCGGGACTCGGTGGAGTGCTCGTCACAGTCCAGGCCGAGGTTTCTCCGAGAACGTTTGGTCGTCTCAAGAACCTTCACTTCCAAGAACGGCTGCTAGAATCAGGGGGAGGGGGGCAGGACAAAGAGAAAGAGGTGGTTATAAGAGAACAACAACATGGCTGATACATCAGTCAAGGAAATGATGAGACAAGAAGTTAAACGTTTCTGCCAATTAATCCCCAAAGAAAACATCAACAGAACATGATATCACAGCCCATTGTCACTCCCATTTTTATATACTGCAGCTTTTACAATGGTCCAACACCTCAAACAAGATGGTTAATTTAGTATCATCTGGACACTGCCCTTATTTTAAGTTAATAACACTTTTTTGCAGGTAACATACCTTAGTTATGAATGTGTTTAAGAGAGTTTTGTGACAACATAATCTTCTTAGTCGTATATACTTTCAAACTAATCTTTGAACCCATTTGCTGTCGCCTGATGATGTCGCAATGATAGAGCGTCTGGGGGCAATTGCAATTCACTCATGTTCACACAACATGGACTATTTCCCTGCATTCAGACTAACCAAAATATTGTCACAGATATGACGTTTAACTCCTGCAGCTAATCAGCGAAAAGCATGTTTTAAATGCAGTGTTTATTACAGTGCCACCTCTCATTCCTAATTGTCTGAAAAGAATAATAGCTTAGAAAAACTTCTGTTAACTGCCGATCATCCACAAACAGCAATGAAAATGTTTTTTTTTTGTTTTTTTTAAATATGATAAAGCATCATGATTAGGTGATAACAACAGCTACAGCCTTAAAGGGGACATATTATTAAAAATTCAATTTTACAGTGTATTGAACATATATCTGGGTAACCTGAGTTTCTACCGACCCACAAAATGTGAAATAAACCCATCCAGTCCTTTGTTTGTAGTCTGCATAAGTCTTACAACACAGAGAAAAGTGCTCCTTTTCAAATTTGCTCAACTTGTGATGTCACAAGTTGGATTCTGGTCAAATAATCCCCTCCCCTGATATCTCCACCCATGGACTCTAATCCCCAGCCGAAAACAAAACTTTTGCCCAGGTCTGCCATTCTTATACTTATTCTTGCTACAGAGGAGTGATGTCTACAGGGAAAACTCAGGGGGGACTCATTGCATTAAAGAGACACTTCTCCATCCTTCTCATCCTTCTCATCCTCCTCATTATCCAAGTAAGCCCAACTTTCAATACGATACACCATGACAACCATATTTTTCAAAGGACTTTACACCTACTGGGAGCTAGGTGTAAGAATGAAGTTATGGAAACAGCTAACCTGGCTCTATCCAAAATTTAGAAATGATCCCACCTGCACCCCAAAGACAACTAACAAATGTGAAAAATAAAGCAATAATCCATGGCACACTGAAAATAAATTAACTATATTTTATTGAGAGCAAACAATACGTTTTGCCTGTAGCTTCCTCAGGTCCCCCAGCACCTACTAATAAACGTGTTGCGTTTTATTTTTTAATTTGGACACAAAATGAACACCTTCATGGTAACATTATGACCCTGGGAACTCACAGCTTCAATTATTTGATATGACAAAATATCGTGATAGCATGAAGGTCTAATTTTTATCAAAACTCTAGAGGGATATACCTCGAAGCGAGTTCAATATACCCAGGCTTTCTGTGAGTAAGCTGGCTTGACAAAGCCTGAAGTTACAGCAAGAGATATGAAGTATCACAAAGGTGATTATCAGGTGATTATCAACTGTAACTGAGAAGAGCCTGAGCTTCTTTGCCTCTGTACACATGAAGTTGAAGCTTCTCCTGCACTAAAAGGAAGGATCGCCTGCTGTTTGCTACTGTCAGACTGATATAGTGAGAAGAAAACACGCTGAGATGAATACATTAAAGTTTTTGCATTAAAAATAAAAACACTGCTGCTACAGAGAAGGCGAAGGACACAGCAGAACAGTGTTGTGTTAATTTGTTGATTAATTAGTTGACTTCACTGTCTGACAAACTGACTTTGACTCATGTTTATATTTAAAGTGGCATCTACACAGTAGAACTATTAAATCTGAACAAAGTTACTCAGGATTTCAGCAGTATGACCAGTAACTGTAATTTTGTCTGTCAGACTTTCACGTTATGGAAATAACATTTGTATTTGGCCAAATTGAAGTCAAAACATTTCTTGAATTGAATGAATACTTGATGTTCCCTAAAGATACAATTTTAATAACCCTTTTTTTTGTAAAACCAGCTGTGTTTAACTTTACAAGTGTTAGAACGAAACTTAAAAACAAAAAGATGCTATGCCCTTATCTGCCTTTTAATGTGAAGTGCTGAAGTTAAAAACATGAATTTGACCTGAAATAAACAGGTACAATGAGAGCAAACAAACTGAAGTGGTGGATCATATTGGTTCTACTTGCTGAATGCACAAGTTCCATGATGTGATATATACAGTATACGTATGTGTTACTGTAACACACGGATTGCTTCTGTGACATCCCAAATGTAACACTATGATTCCAAGTGTTTCAATAAACATAGACCTTCATTTTAGGATCTATACTGGCAATGATACTGGCTGATAATAAACCGGTACTGAATAGGAATGCGTTACCATAATGATCCTGCCAGGTTAAAACAGAGCCAGCTTCTTAACATGGATAACTCGGACTTTAGGTTTGACAGACCAGGTTTACCCTTTAATCGGGCTTCATGGTACACTCCCCAGGTGTCAGTTTTGTTTATAACACAAACAACATACGTTTAATCTGTGAGCTAATCTTGTCTAATCGCCACCCAATTTTGGAACACTCAGACTTGAGAGAAGTCCAGATTTCCTTGTGAAACTCTTGGCAATATTATAATGAGATTTGATATAGTTACGTTATCAGAATAATCTGTATGGTCATATGATAAAGTATTAATTCAACACATCACATCATGTCTCAGTTTGGCACTGAAAGAACTGACGGAAGGCATTTAAAACCTATTGTCATGTATACATTTGGCACGTATACGTCATGTATACGTTTTGTGATTTTATGTGTTAGTAAAACCTACTGAAAACGCAAGGTCTGAAACACAAAACTTTTGTGAGTTTTGACATGATATTTTGGATGTGAGCGCAAGGCTTTTCACATTCTGTTGTTTTGAACCCGTTTTTGACACAGCAGACACTTGCTTTTTTTGTTTCTCTTAACATGGATACTGTCGTTTAGATATTTTGTATCTTTTAATTGAAAGACCACAAAGGTCCCAGCTAAAATATATATATACAGTATATATATATATTAACTGATTATGATTAAGAGCTGCTTATTTGATATTTCACTAAAACATATTGATGGATGGATAACTTTAAAGTACGAACATAATATGGATTGTGAGCATGGTTCCAAGAGAGTGACAGAAACTGGAGCTCACTCTGTATTCTCAGCTTGATCTCTGACCCTGGAGGTCATCTTCAGCCTGCCATAACCTTGACCTTTGGGGGCAAAGCAAGCAGATCAAATATTTTACTCCATCATGTTTGTTTTACAAAGCCTTCCTCTCCCCACAGTGATTCCAGCTGGGCTAGAGCACAGTTTTTGTGACGCATTCAAAAGAGGAAATAAGCTGAAAGGCCGTTGGAAAGAGACCACGTCAACTCAGCCTTTAGGGCTTTTGTTGTAGAAAAAAAACGCAGAGGATCAGGAAGAAGCAGAGTTTTGTTCTGTCCATGCTTTTAGTGTTTTATTTATTTTGATACACTGGCCTGTTTTTTTTATCTTTAATTTGTTGTCTCCAATGATAATATTGCACACTGCTGTGTGCTCAGAGGGCAGCAGTTTATTGGCCAAGAAACCAGAGCTGACCTGTGAAATGTGTTGTGAAGATCTGACCCAAATGACCACTTTGTAAATATTTGTGTTGCTTAACCTCCTGAAGGACATGCTTACATAATTCAACAAAGATGCTGTATGTAAGAGTCGGTCCCAGTGACTCTGGGACTTCTGTCTAGATAAATGTCTGCTTTATCATTTATCTAACCTATCAATAATATATTTTTTTAAATGCTGTGATGTTAAATGAGATGTATTGATAACTTTGGTGAAGGCTGGTTCAAACAAAGTAACTGTATTTATCTGGACCAAACCAAACATAGAATAAGTGACATGTTCAGAAAGATTGATGACATGACAGACTTAAGTGTTTAAAATAAATGTGTGTGTTGGCTGGTTTACAAACAAAATATTCATTTGTAAGTTTACTTTTTGTAATACCAATCGTTTGCAAATAAGTAACTCACTGACTATATTTACTGGCAAGGATTAACTCTTGTTGTTCCTAAAAGTCTTCAATAATCACTTGGAAAAGCATTTCTTAATGCTAAATATTTGACTTTTTTTTAACATAAAGTATATCTTGAAGAATGGAATTCCAGCTTTCAAAAGCTCACCTCTTTTTCATGCTTGTAGGCTTCAAATCATGCCTTTATGTGTTCTATTGTGAAGTGACGTAACTTTGTGGTTCAGGCTGTGAGAATGGAAGAAGCTTTGGAGACAGATGAAAGCGTTTGTGGTTTAACAATTGTGTAGCTGCGAGCCGAGCTGACCCTGGCTTTTGGTATTTTGGTTTTTGGTCTTAGCTTTATGGTGATGCATTATCTGTCACTATTTATAAGAACACTTCAGCATAGTATTTACAGATTTTTAGTATTCAATGCCATTTAGGATCAATGCCATCTGATTTTTTTTTTTTAGTGACTATTTGTTTAAGTGAAATTTAGTTCAGTTCTTAATAAAAATCCATATTTATCTTAATTTTTTTCATTATCATAATTTTGGCTGACCTACTTTTAAATATGAATTGGCATTTGCATAAATTTGATCTTTAATGAAAGTGCCCCCCCCAACCCCCACCCTAACCCCTGCAACCCCCTTCAACCCCCTTCCACCCCAGGGACAGGTCTGAGGGTCCTTACCAGCCCCTCCTCCCCAGGTCGCAGCGAGGTAACAGCCAGGTCATTGCCGCTCTCGTCGAAGGCGTTGATGTCGATTCCCCAGTTGGTGTGAGGCTGTTTGAACCAGTTCTGCAACACATGCTTAAAGTCAATACTCTGCCAGTGGCCCACCCGGGAGTTTAGCTCGATCTTCAGAGAGCGGATGCGGATGTGACGGCTGCCTTGCTCCGTGACGGGCTTCAACCGCAGGATCTGCAGGTAGACAGTGGAGGTCTGCTGCAGCGGCCGCAGGTACACCCACAGCTGGGCCTTCAGCACCTTGGTGAACATCAATTTAGGGCTGAACTTGAAGAAGCAACAGCTCGGCTTCCCGTTGACCTGCACCAGGGGCTCCGCTGTTGGAAAGAGAACAGTTACATTTATATTTGTTACTCAAAGGAAGAACAGTGTATAATTGTCATTGAGCTTATTATCATCCAAATACATAAAGGCATAAATGCGGCTTTCACACCTCTAGAATCACAAACAACCCTGAATCAGACTGCAGGCTTCAGAAATATGAACACAAATAAAAAAGAAAAACAAAATCCACTAATGAAACAGATCATGATTGAAGTATTGTTATTAAGTACAAACTTTGCCCCCATAACTGAGAGGGATCCTCTCTATAGATTAAAGCGAGGACTTTAAAAGATAATACATAAATATGCTCCCTAAGAACCACAGAACTGAAACCATTTAGCTTTGGAACTATTTTAAGTGTCTATCAAACAGATACTGTTTGACACAAAGTTCTTTCTCTTATATATACAAACAACAAATACTACTGTATATAAGAAAAAAGACAGCTATGAAGTTAGGTACAGTTGTTGAAAGTATGAACGCAAAACACACACACACACACACACACACACACACACACACACACACACACACACACACACACACACACACAGAGATCTTTGGGATTATTTTTTGCTTTGATTCAGCATCAAACATTTGAACATGGCCCTATACCGCTGGATAGTGTGATTTAACTAAGAAGGCCTTTGAAGGTGTTTTTTTTTAATTTTTTTTTTACAGAAATCATCCTGTTAGGGACTCCAACAGAAATTCACATCTTCTGATAACATGCTGCTATATTCTGATAAAAAGCTGCTGAATAAACCATGGAGGATTACACACATTTTGTGGCTCAGTGATGCTTATTTTCTAGATGCAAGTCCAAGTTGTATGTTCATGGTGAAAATGAATGAACCAAACAGAGTAATAAACATCGTTTTTTTTTTTTACAACATTATATTTTAAAAAGAACAGTAGTTAAACTGACTCAGAGCATTGCTTGTTTTTTTGTATTTCTGCTAAATGTAGCCACAGCTGAATGATGGCTGTTAGTTATCATATGTGCACACACGTCTTTCTGTCAGGATAAATTTGTGATTACATCAAGGTTGGACAAACAGATACATTTGCATATTAAAATAAGGATCAGTAATGGTGGCCAGTGGCCAGATGGTAACCTTAGATCCCCCTGGGTCAACCATAATGAAATGGTCTACCTCTGCATTACATTACTAACCCTTACCCAACATTAAAAAAATAATAATTTTAAAGTTTTTTTGGTGGCTCCCCCTTGATGGAAAATATATTTTGGGTGTAGATTAAGGGTTGTTTCAAATAAACACAAGGTGTCCCTTAAAACACTCAGATTTATTCCTGCCATGATTTTTGGCTGTGCTGTTTCTGTGATTTGCGCCACATGTCAAATCTGCACATGGTTCATTTACATAGACCTCCCTCTTATATAATGACATCCATCCATTGCATTCATACATTCATTTCCATCTAAAGTGTTCATTTATTAAGGGAAATTTATTCTGCATCTATCTGGCATAATAATGCGGGACCCAGTACAATAGAATATCTAATCTACCCATTTTCTCACAGCAAATTTGACATGATTGTAGCAAATAAACTGTCGTTTTCTGTCATTTATCTTATGAAGAGGATGATTGTTGTTTCTCCTCTATAAAAAGGCAGATAAAAAAGTGTAGGATGCACCCGTCAATCATTCCTAAATCTGGGGTTGCTCAGGCAACCTCAAAATGCTTCCTGGGTCAAAAGGTTATTTTGCACCTCAGCCTAGTTAAGAAATGGGATCAGGGGTCAAAACTGTCAGCCCCTTTACATCTCAGGGGTGCTGGGGAGGGGCTGCCCTTATAGCCAGATTGAGTTTGAAGGTCAAGGTCAATCCTATGGCCATGGTAATATGTCTTTCTTCACAACATGCCTTTTTTATAAGCAGATAATCATTTCAAATCTCAGCCACACAACAGCTACCATTTGTTTTGGTTTTGATTAGGGAGGAGATTCTCCAGCCAATCGTGTTTTGTTTATCAAAACTCCATTGACCAGAAGAACACACTGCAACGGGCTGTTTTTCTTCCTTTTTTTCTTTTTACACCAAACAAGTGTTGTAATTTAATTATGGTCATGGCTAGAGGGATATGAATTCACTGAGGTACAGATGGACTATCCATTAGAAGAGTCCAGGGTGAACATTGAATAAGGGCCAAACCAGGGACAGACGTGGTCCTTCAGCCTGTATTTCCAGGCCCAGTCATTAGCGAGTGTAAATTATATAGTGTCTCACGCTGGACAAACAATATGTCAATGTTCCTTTTGGTGGGTTGCTGAGGTCACAGCAATTAACGTGGGTGGTGTTGTGTTTGCTCATCAGCACAAAACTGGGAAAGAATGATTCTGCAGTTTGCTTCGGGTTTACTTGTGATAACTACTTTTTGTTGTGTTCTGCAGATGGAGGACACACACCAGCTCTTCCTTTGCAGTCTTTTTGTTAACACTGTTTGAGTTCTTGGGAAAACAAACAAAACAATTAAAAGAAAAAACAACAGCAGAGCTTAAATTGGTTCAGTTTCTAGGTAAGAGTTTTTTTTTTTCTTGAGGAGTAATCTGAGAAGCAGAGGCAGTTCTGGGCCACGTTTATTAAACACATGTGCACAACATATGAGCTGCGTCATGTTAAACAATGACTGCATTGATAGGTGAAATCAATTTGTGCCTTTATAGATCCTGTAAGTGCCTGCACCTTAATTACAGCCCCCATCTTGGCAAAGTGCTCTGTGTAAAAAGGGCAAAGCTAGCTTGTAAAGATCAAAAACCCAATGGGACATTTAATCCCTCTAACTTCGTGAGCAAAGTATGCTCACAGTTTTTACTGCAAGACTTGTTTTTATGGTTTAATTTCCTGGACAATTTGCACAGTTATATTTCAGTTAAGTGTTTCAATCCTACACACAATTCAGATTTTGCATCAGCACCACCTACTGGAGCAATAACATGTCTCTGCTCGACCAAACAGATGATGAAGTAAGAAAGTAGATCCTTGATAGTAAAGTCTTCCTTTTATTTAAAAAAAAGAAATCAAACCAAGGTAAAAGCCTTAGCTGGACAGACAGAGGCTGCGTTTTTCCAAAGGAAACAGGCTTGTTTGCTTTCCCTCCTCATGTTTCTAGCCTACTTCATTATTACAGCAGCTTATTTCCCTGTGGTATAATTGCAGCATATGCAGCGCATGAATTTTACTGCCAGCACACAGCAGGCTTGCAGGTGAGCCTATCAAACATCTGGTGGACTCCCTGGGTACCTGTGTCCCATAGTTAGCCCAGAGTTTCCTGTATGTGTAGGTGCGAGGAGAACTATAGAATATAATGGTTTATTCACACTGCCATCTGTCCATTTTAATATGACCGTAGCCTGTTTAAAAGTTTAATGCTCTTAATAACCGAATGCAGAAATGTTACTGAAGGGTGAAGGACAATGAGCTCCTTAAACTGTTGAAAACAGATGGAGAGGGGGAGTTAAGGTGTAGTTATCCAATGAATAGTTAACATGTGTTACCTGTGAGGGTGCTTTAATGTAAGCAATATGGTACAAACTGAAGAACCTTCGATTTCCACAAGAAGTGTAGACATAGAATTTGAAGAAAAGGCTTTGACTCTTTTTGTCCAAACATATGGTATCAACTGGATAAAATACATAACAAAGCTTACAAGAATATTTTTACAATATGCTTCTGACGGTAAAAAAAAAAAAAAATCACACTTTCTCCACTTCTTAAGCCAAACTCTTGTAAACATGGTTCTCCCAATCAGATGAAAATCCTGCAGCTAAAATATGATGGGGAGAGAAATGGTCACTTATTGTTAATGTCCAAATGCATCATAGTATAAACCCAGATAGGAGTTGCATTTGCATATATATCTATATTTTCTTTACTTAATGGGAAATGCAAATGTGCCATTTTGTGGTTAGTGTGTGTTTGGGATCCTTCATGTTGAATAAATGTGACTCTAGGGTATCCCCATGCACCTTGGCATATTAATCATCGTGACACGTTCACGACCCTTCTAATAAGACAGGGGCCACAGTGCACCCCCTCAAACATCCCATCCCACCCCAGCCCCGCTCCCTCTTTGTCTCTCGGCCAGTCCCAAGGGACAGGAGAAGGGTGGTGGGGGAGGCCTGGCTCGAGCTGGGATGGAGGAGGAGGGGGTGTGTGTGTGAAGTTAGACCCCCTCATTCAGAAGCCCTCCCCTGGGACTAGGCAGGCACAAGACTCCTATTAGGACTGAGCACAGTAGCCCCCCAGGAGCAACAAAAGACATCTCCTAATGCTCCCTGTTCTAGCTCGGTGAACACATGGAAACATGCAACCACACATAAACACACAACATCCATGAGCTCAGAACTGAAAGTCTTCAGCCAACACACTCACAGCTCATTCTTCTCAGTGTTCGGGTTGTATGTGTTTGTAAAACCAGAGGGAAGTCTTCGGGACTTCTCCAGCAGTCCAGAGTATGAAAAGAGCGAGCATGCACTGAACTGCAATAAGGTGGACAGCTGGACAGCAGGAAGCATGCTGGGGTCTCACTGCTTGTGTTTGTGTGCATCCACACATGCAAGACGTTAATGTCAGGGGACAATGTGATGCTGTGTTTTCAGAAGTCAGAACCCAAATTTATAAAGTATCTCTTCAAATATATCTGAACTCAATATTACTAGATTCTTTTGTCATTTAAAATCAAAAGTGTAATACTGTTATTTTGTACCCATTACATTAAATCAACTAATCATAATGATCATATACCTGTTATACTTGTAAAAGCAAGATAAATTAAAGTTTACCAAAGCTTTTTGGAAGAGAAGACAAACAAGATGAAGATCAGGCTGGACATGCATCACTTGCACAGCCCAAAAATATGGCCTATTGAATATTAAGTTACTGGAAACTATTTGTATTTCTAAGTCTGAGGCATAATAAAAAATAGTGCTGACTGTTCATTTTTGTTTACCTGATTGTGTATGGC